CAGGCGGCCCCCAATATGCTCCCAGGAGGCCCCACGAGGCCCCCAGATGACCGAAAGAGCCCCCAAGAGGCTCTGCAACGGCCCCAAGAAGCTTCAACACTGCCACTGAGCGGCCCCCGACAAGCCCCCCCACGAGACCCCAACGAACATCCAATAGGCTTCATGCCCACAACTCAACCACGGTGGCGGGATGGGCCGGAGGCCATTGGATCCGCCGCCCCCTGCTTGCAGGGGTGCACGGCGTGCTGGATGATTCAGGTTTTGGTTTTGGTTCTTTTTCTAAAAGAACTCCCCAATGGGCTTCGGCCCGTCCCGCCGGCCACCCGTAAATTTCCCAAAATCCATCTGTCAATGCCCAAAAACGGCCGATTCGCTCGGGACATCCTCAAAAAATCGCGAAGATGGCCCAAGATGGCCTCCAAGTCCGCCCGAGATGGTCCAAGACGGCCTCCAAAACGGCCCAAGAGAGTCCAAGACGGCCCAAGACGGCCCAAGAAGCCCCCAAGATCGCCCAAGAGGCCCCCAAGACAGCCCCATGATGGCCCAAGTGGCCTCCAAGATGGCCCCTAGAGGGCCCCAAGAGGGTTCCAAGACGCCCAAGATGAAGACGGCCCAGCGTGGCCTCCCGACGGCTTCAGACGTTGGCCGAAGTTGGCTCTGGCCTCAACTTGTCTGACCCAAGATGCCCACAAGGCTTTCCAAACCGATTCGCACGTGGTCCGATTTCCTTCAAACATAGGCAAAAAGGGGGGGCGGCGGTGATTCGCCGTAGGCGTCTTCGATATTGTAGTTCAATATGTGTTGGTGCTTTGTCCCTGTTCACATGTGTTTACTCGTATGTTAACTCATTCGTTGGTATGGTTACGTTTGTCGCAATGCGTGTCGACATGCCGTTGTATGCTCTGATGTGTGACGCCGAACTACTGTATGATATGGTATGCTGGGCTGTGGTATAGTATCGGATGTGTGTGTGATGGTGTGCACATAACTGCTAATCAAGACGTCCCTCTGCAATGGAATACATCCCACGATGTGGCAACACATTGACTGTAACAACTGACTCGGTATGTTGTGTGTTGACCGATGCTGCGTTATGACATGAGTTGCGTGGTGTGCGATGCCATGATCTAGTATGAAATGCTCAACCATAACATGTAACACCGCGTGCAGACATGGTATGCGTTGTCATGTGGTGGGATGGTATGATATGTTTGTGCTGTGGTATGATCTGATATGTGATGTCGTGGGATGTTATGTTGTGAGCCGCTATGTGATGTTCCCATGTGCGATGTTAGTGTTTAATATGCTATGTTGTGGTCGGGTGAACAATGTTATGGTGTGATGACTCGTGGCATGTTATGGTTTGTCTGATCGGTGTTTCATAACATGCGGTGTGATGTTGTAGTGTGTAATGACTTGTCCCGGCATGATATTGCATGATCGGCTCTGTTGTGCGGCGATGCTATGTTATGCACGAATGTGTAATCGCATGTTATGCCGCGCTCTGGCATTACATATGTCATCATCATGTGGCATGTGGTCTGCAATGATATGGTGTGTATGGTCCACTCTGTCATTGCATGCGTAATCATACCCTGTTCTGCGATATGTGATGTATTGCTGTGTTGCGTATGCTCTGGTCTGCCGTAGCATACTCTGCTATCTTGTATTTTCGGAGAGGAAAGATGGGAGCGGACACCAACGCTTCAAACACCTAGCCTCCTCGCCAAACGCGCCGTCAACAAAGCAGGTCCCCCCCAGCAAGATTGTCCTGTGAACGTGGCCGATAGCTGGCAACGGAAACAGGCAAGCTAAGCAGGCAAGACCAATCTTCACTTGGGACGGGCTTCAAATCGAGGATGGGCCGGCACACCCAAACTTTAACCCAAGATTTAAGAGACGGTCTGCAACGGCTGCAACACACGCAACGAACATGTCACGAGTTACGGCCCGCAAATGCGGAAGGAGGAGGACGACGAGGAAAGAAAGGAGGAGGAAAAGAGAGAAACCAAACGGCGAAAGATACGAATTATCCTTATAAAACGTATTATCCCCTGGCTGGCAACTCTGTTGTGCGGCAGACCCGTATTGAACGGCCTCAACGGCCCGACGGCCCATCAATATATTCACCATTGCTGGGGAAAGAAGGGAGAGGAGGAACACGAGGAGGAGCGGGAGCACAAAAATATACAACTATGGCCCGAACTCGTCTCATATCGAAGCGCGTGTCTGCCCCATACCAGCCTCAGTGTCTGTCTGCTATGCTGTTGCATTGCTGATTGCATTACGCTTTGTTATGTGATGCTGCATTATGTTGTGTTCTGTTATGTTATGTCATGTTATGCTCTGCTCCATCGTGTTATGTTATGTTCAGTTCTGTCAAGCTCAGTCATGATCGTCGTCGGCGCGAGGCGGGCGTCTCGGGGGATATTCGGTGGACCTTGGGATCTGGCGGCCGCGGTATGCAGAATGGCCGGGTCGACGCGAGGCGGGCATCTCGGCGAACCGACTCGGTGGACCTGGGGATCTGGCGGCCGCGGGATGCAGGGCGGTCGGGCCGGGAGGTCTGTTCTTAAAATCCAACGACCCTACTGTAACCTGTCAGGTGGGGAACACTGATTTTCGTTTTCGTTTTGTGTTCTGTCTTCACTCCGCCTTTGCTGCAAAGCAACATCAAAACGAACATGGCCCGCGAAATCGCACAAACACCAGTTAGCTCGAGCCCTGCTCTGCAGTGGCTCTTGACTGGGACGATGGGCAGCCCTGGCAAGCGCGGCGCACCTCGCGGGCGTCGCCCGCCTGGCTGGCGTCTGCACTGGTTCCCGATGGTGGTCGGTGGCGGCCTGTGCCCATGCCGAGGCTCGAATGCCCATGCTTTGGTGGGAGGGCGGGTGGGAGCGAGCGAGACGGCCGTCCTTCGGGGGGGGGGCCTGGCCTCTCCCCTGCCCCCGCTCTCTCAGTTTGGAGGGGGGGGGGGTCGCGACGCGTTGGAGCATCCGAGATGGCCCACGAAAGCCCAAGATGGCTCTGGCAGGGCCATGGATTGCCCAAGGCCGCTCGAATATAGCCTCCAACATGCCTTCAAGGCGCCCCGAGACGACTCCAATTGTCCACGGGGCTTCTCAAGGACCCCCCCGCCGGGATGGCCAAATCCTTCAAACGCAAGATGGTTCTCACTGCTTGGATTGCTTCGCATCTTGGCTTATGGCGGGCTCTGGAAGCCTCACGATGGCTCTGAGATGGCCAAGGAATCAACAATAAGGGACCGAGACGGCTCCAAGACGGCCACGAGAGCGCCCAAACACGCCCCAAAGCGCCCCCAGGAGGAAAGCTGTCGGGCCTCGACGAGGGGGGGGGGGGACTGACATATGCGCCGCTCCCTAACGTTGATCAATGGCCTCCAAGATCAGATGGCTCCGAGAGGACCCCAGGGCTCGCAAGAGAGCCCCCAGAGGGCCCCAAGACAGACACGAGAGAGCCCAACATGCCTCCAAACTAGCCTCAACATGCTCACCAAAGTAAGCTTTCACCTCTGTTGGTACCCTTGCTTCACTCTATGCTCACCTGAGTACCCCCCTCATCCAGACACTTCCCCTGGGCATCGCCTTTGGATGATTGGTGGGAAGGCGCGAAGCGTCAATAATTGGAGCCGAGGTTGGAAGCTCATAGCCCATCAAGACAAATTCAGAATGGGCCGAGAAGCACTGACGCATGGGCACCCGTGTAAAATGATTCATCCTTGTTTGCCTGCGATTGACTGTATATGCCATGGGCGATGGAAAGAAATACTGATTGAAGAACTACCCAAGTCCGATGCCAACCTTTCAACTAATCCTAACCATCCCTTTGGCCAACCGTCTTGATTGGCACCACCCATCCCGACCTAGTATGCCAGGAGAGCTGACCGTGGAGCTAAGGATGGCTCTGACGATGAAAATCTGTGGCCCCGACGCGAACGTCCACTCCTGGGATGATGGGCCCCGACGCGAACGGTGAGGATCGATGGCTCCGACGGCACGCTTAGGATGGTTCTGGCGATTTAGGGGAAGAAGAGCGGTATAACATAAGCTTTCCCGCCGTCGGGGGCGCCTGCCCCAGGGCGGCTGGAAAGTTTACACCCCCCCGACGGTGACAAGTCAGGGTGTAAACTCTCCAACCGCCCTGGGGCAGGCGCCCCCGACGGCGGACAAGTTTGACCTTACACCGTTCTTCGCCCGCAAAGCAGTCATGGTCCTCGTCGATGTCGGACGGGTCGGTCTCCGAGACGCTGCTCGCGTCGGTGTAGGCGATGCGGCCGCCGTCCTCGGCCAGGCGCACCTTCAGCGGCAGGATGTCGAGGATGTCGATGATGCTCGCCAGGGGCTCCTTCTTCGCTCCCTGCAGGCGGAGGGGTGCTGTGGACGGCACCGTGATCATGTCGGTAAATAGCGAAATAATAATGGGTTGAATGGACAAGTAATCTGGAATTCAGTAAGTCCTGACAAAAGCAGGTGATATCGGGGATCGACTGACCCAGGTCAATCCACACCCGGGGTCAGTCAGGTCTTTGCAAAATCCTGCGGAATCCTGCGCCCTAATCCGTCAATGCGCCCCTGGCCCTGCAGGATCCTGCAAGATCCGGCGCGCTGACTGAACCCCCGTTTGCAGACCCTCGTCTGTTGAGCCCCGATGAGTCACGGTATACCGTGAGCGAGCCAGGGAAGGCGCAGTTGCGCACGAGTGCGCTCCTGAGACCGAACGGCTGCGGAAGGAGGACAGAGGAGCACGAGGGGAACGCCTACAGCCAGGCTCGCACACACACGCACACACACGCACACACACCACACACACCACACACACACCCGCACACACCCACACACACACATACACACACACACACACACCGCGCGCGCCGCCGCTTCTCGGCAAGTCTCCGGAGCCCCCCTCGGAGGTCTCCAGAGGTCGGAGGGGGCCTCAAAAGGACAGAATGCGCGCTGCTGCGTCTCGGCAGGCCGTCTCGCCTTCTCGTCGTTCTCAGCCGCTTTGTCGTCGAAGGGCACGTTGCCAGAGAGCATCTCGAGCATGAGGATACACACCGCCAACCCTGGCAGGGATCTCTCCTCTGCCTATTCGTCCTCATGCGTTCTCCTCCTCCTCCTCCTCCTCCTCCTCCCTCCACCTCTTCCTCTCCTCTTCCTTGTCCCCCTTGCCCCTCATCCTTCCTTTTTCCTCCTATTCCTCCTTTCCCTCCTCCTCCTCCTCCTCATCATTCTCCTCCTCTCAGCCTTCCTCCTCCTCCTCCTGCTCCTGCTCCTCCTCCTACCCGCCTTCCTTCCTTTCCTCATCCTTCTCCTGATCCTCCTCCTCCTCCTCCTCCTCCTCCTCCTCCGTCTCGTCGTCGTCCTCCTCCTCGTCATCATCACCATCACCATCACCACCATCACAATCACCATCACCATCAGCATCAGCATAAAAAAAGCATCATCACCATCATCATCATCATCATCACCACCATCATCATCAGGATCGTCATAAGCATGATCATCAGCATGCTAATCAGCATCAGCATCATCATCATCATCATCATCATCATCATCATCATCAGCATCATCATCATCAGCAGCAGCATCATGATCATCAGCATCATCATCTGCAGTAGCATCAGCATAATCAGCACCACCATCATCAGCATTAGCATCAGCATCAGCATCAGCATCAACATCAACATCAACATCATCAGCATCATCATCATCATCAGCATCATCATCATCATCATCGTCATCATCATCAGCATTATCATCATCATCATCATCATCATCACCGCCATCATCATCGTCATCGTCAACATCATTCCTCATCCACTGCCATCATCCATCGTCATATGCTCATGCTTCGTCCATTGCCTCCCTCCTGCTCCTGCCCCTTTTCCTCCGTCCTACGACATCCTCCTCAATCCTCGTCGGCCACCTTCGTCGGTCGGAAGGTGTCCTCTTGTCGCTGACGTGCCCAACAAGAACACTGACGATCAAATCCACCAACGATAACGAGTTGTATCGGGAAATAAATTACCAAGGCACACAACACACGACGATCCGTCAACGATGCTAGGATGGAGACCATTACATAGGCCCAGTGTCGGACCCTACGTTCCCCTCCTCCTCCTCCTCCTCCTCCTTCTCCTTCTCCTCCTCCTTCTCCTCCTCCTCCTCCTCCGTCCGCTGTGTCATTCCCCCTCCCTGGGCAACAAACGCTAAATCGACGCTGGGGCGTCAGCTCGACGCAGGGCAACCCCAGTACTCTGCTTCCACCTCATCGATGATGCCCGCGCCGACGTAAAGCCCTCCTCACCCCCCTCCTCGTCTTTCCTCCGCCTCCGCCTCCTTCTTATCCGCCGCCACCCTCCTCCTCCTCCTCTCTTCCTCTCTTCCTCCTCCTCCTCCTCCTCCTCCTCCTCCTCCTCCTCGCGTCTCCTCCTCTCGTCTTCCTCCATCCTCCCCCTCCTCCTCCCTCCTCGTCTCTTCCTCCTCTTCCTCCTCCTCCTCCTCGTCTCGTCCTCCTCCTCCTCCTCCTCCTCCTCCTCCTCCTCCTCTTCTCTTCCTCCTCCTGCTCCCCCTCGCAGACACAACGCCGAGCGCGAGCCTCGAGCCCTCGAGGCCCAGAGAGGAAAGCAGCTGTTGAGCACACCCAGCCGTCCCTCCTCAACCAATCCCTCCCCTACCCTCCTCCTCCTGGGCTCCTCCTCCCTCTCCCTCCTGCTTCCCCCTGGCTCCTTCTGGGCCACCCGCCAGTCAACCGCCAGGACGTGGCCCGTCCGCATGATGATCTCGGGAGCCATGTACGCCGCGGCCCCGCACACAGTGTGAGTCTTCTGACCTGGCCGACGACGCCGCCGACCATGACGGAGACGGCAAGGACGACGATTGGGAGGGGGGAGGCTGCAAAGTCGGGTTCGCCGAAGAGGTAGGCCAGGAAGAGGGGGGCATCGCACCGTGGCCAGAGGCATCCGCGCGCGGACGAAGGGGCAAGGGAACGCGTTGAAAGAGGGAGTGGGCACATCTGGGAGATCTCATCGCCCTAGCAATATCCACGCAGCCCTAGTCCTCATCCCCCTCTGGACGCTCCCAAAGGAGCCGCCGTCCGCGGGCCACCCATATTTATGCTGGTCCCTCGTACCCCTGAAGGTTCAGCTTCCAGTGCTGCTCGTGCTGTTCATCATCCCTTTTCCTGCTGCTCTTCCTCCAACTGCTCCTGTTGTTTCGCTACTCCTTCTCCTCTTCCTCATCCTCCTCCTGTCACTGTCGCTGATGGCATCGATGCCGATCACGACTTTGCCGTCCTCCTCCTCCTCCTCTTCCTGCTGCTGCCCGTATTCCTCCTCTTCCTCGATCTCAGTTCATGCCCCTTACCCCCGACTCCCCTCCACAGAGTTGCACAACCTCACAACCCATTCTCAACTGCAGCCCCTCTCGTTCTATCCTCTCCACGTTCTCTCCTCCTCACCTCCCCTCTTTCCTCCCTTGCCACTGCTGATCCTTCATCCCCGCCTCCTCGCATGCGCAGAGCGAGCGCCCCTGGGCTAAAGATCGCCAAGGGGGGGCCAAGCACTCCCCGATGAGGTCGAGCAAGGCCGAGCCCTGCTCCTGCTCTCCTTCATCGTCCGTCTCTCTCCGCCATCGGCCCTTCTCGTCCTCCTTTTCCTCCTCCTCCTCCTCAACCTCCTCCATCCTTGTCGTCTTCCTCGCCCTCCTCCCTCCCTCCCTCCTCCTCCTCCTCCTCTCCTCCTCCTCTCCTCCTCCTCCTCTCCTCCTCCTCCTCCTCTCCTCTTCCTTTTCGTCTCCCTCGTCCTCCTCCCCCCTTCCTCCACCCCCCCCTCTCCCTCCCCCTCCTCCTCCCCCTCCTCCTCCCCCTCCTCCCCCTCCCCCTCCTCCCCCTCCTCCTTCGCACCAGCACCTCCAGAAGACCGGTGACCACACGTGGGGCTGGACACTGCTCGCGCACCCGCTCAGAGCGGCACGGCCACATGCTCACGCGAACGCGCACAACACCGGGTGGGCAGCCCCGAAAGCGACGCCGCCAAGATAGTCTGCCAACAGATCTGGCCAACCTCTCGAAGGCCCCAGCGCGGAGTTGCTGTGCCCGCGCCGGCCTGTGGCGAAGGGGCCCCAGCGCCCACCCAAGACATCCTCGGAGCCATCCGCGACTTCACACTCAGACAGTGTCTTGGCCCCCCTCTTTGGCGGCGCGCACAAAGGGGTGGAGGGAGGTGGGAGGGCGTCTTAGAGGGAGGCTGCTCCTCAGAAGGCGCTGGATTTACATCCATAGATAAGGCCCGCGCCTTCTGAGAAGCGGGGGTGCTTCTGACCAGCCCTTCCCCCTCCCCCCCCACCCCCCTTCTGCGCGTGGCTGACCTCTGACGCTGCACAACCCGCCCAGACGCACCACGGGTGACGGGTCAACTCCTCGCTCGGGCCACCAAAACCTGAGGCTCCGTGCCCTCGGCCACCAAGCGGCCGCCAGAGAGGCGGGCCCGCTTCCCAGTGATGGCGTCGACCCATATCTTGCCTCCTGGGAGCACCATCCTGGGAACGCCGGGATACTCGACGAGCCTGGACTCGTCCGTCTCCATGTTGTTGGTGTAGATCCACACGGTCTCAGCGCAATCTGCGCGCCCCCTCTTGAAGACGAAGGTGTCCGCGCTTGCATGAACGACATCTGCACCCTTGAGCCCCAGGCCATGCTCGCTGCGAATGCGATTCAGCGACTTGATGAACTGGTATTGCCAGGTGGTTGTCTTCCAGCCATGCTGCCAAAGAGAATTTCGATTCTCGGTATTCCCCTGCTCGTCTCCCCATGTGATAACGGGCATCCCCCTGGCAAGCATCGCCCATGTCAGCGCGTTCCTGACAAGGGTAGGGCTGTCAATGCATCCGCCCGTGCCCATGCCACCACCAAAGGGATCATCATCCTTGGGAGGGACTGCGAAAAGACCAGCCACTGGAGTGTCATCTTGACTGTCCATGAAGTTCATCAACAAGTCGGGGTGAGAATACAAACCGCTCTCGAGCTGCGTCTTCGTAGCTGCTGAGAGGTACGACAGATTTTTCATGGCGATCGGGGAAGAAGGCGACCGGGGCCACCCGCAGTATCCAGCCGTCGCAAGATAAGCTAAAGGAAAATTCTCCATTCCTGCAAGGACCGGCCCACCTCCTTGGAGCTGGAACGAGGCATGAAAAGAAACGTTCGTTGTTGTGACCTCGCCGATAATCCGCCACCGTGCCTCGAGGCGCGAAGTGGAGTTGCCTCCAGGCTCCTGTGTGTCCTCTGTTCTCTGTACTCTGGGATATTACTATTCTAGAGAGGCTCGGGCCCAAAATTCTCAAATTTCCTTGGCGTTCCCGCGCTTTCTTGGGCTGCCCTGCGGCGTGACATTTCCAGAAGCCAGAGGGTCTCAAGATGGGCCAAGAAGGCCCCCAAAAGCGCCCATGAGGGTCCAAGAGGTCTCCAAGACAGCCCAAGAGCGCTCCAAGACGCCTGAGATGACCCCAAGACGGCCCAAGAGGCCCCAAAGAAGCCCCAAGAGCGCTCAAAGAGGACCCGCAAGAGGGCTCAAAGAGGCAAACATCCTTGATATTCCTTGTATTGTTCAAAGTGTTTCGCGTTCTCCCGTTTTCGGGCTTCCGACGTTCCAAGATGGCCCCAGAGCTCCCAAGACCGCCCCAAGATGGCCCAAGAGGCTCCCAAGAGGGCCCCAAGACAGTCCAAGAGGGCCCCGCAACGGCCCAAGAGGCGCCCGAGAGGGCCCCGAGACGGCCCCAAGAGGGGGCCACAGAGGGGGAACACGGGCCGACAATTCGAGCCTTCCGCCACAAGAGGCCCCCACGAGGCCTCCAAGAGACCCCCAAGAGAGCCCAAGATGCCCCCTGGAGGCCCCACAAGGCCCCCAAGAGGCCCGAAAAGATATCCCAAGAGGCCCCCAAACGGCCCCCAACACACCTCAAACCTGCTTGGCACGGGGACGGAAAACGCACTTACTTTCAGAGCGCACGAGATCGCTGGCTCGTCCGCTCTTCCACCTCTTATTGACTCCCTTCCCCTCGCTCTTGTCCTATCTCAGCCTCGGAGAGTCGCGGAGCTTTCTTTGAGCGCGTTTCTTGTTTTGGAGGGGGCGGTCGGGTCGCGTTGCGTTTTCCGCGTTTGGGCTGCCAGCTTTCCAGAACCCCGCGTTTTCCTTGCGTGGACCGCTCGTTGTCCACGCGTTGCCGCCCGTCCCTGTGCCCTGGCGTCAAGAACTTATTACGCCGCAACTCTCTGTTGGGAGCTTTGGTCTTATCAGCTCGATTACGTCACCGCTCGCTCTTGGGAGCCGCGGTGCTAAGAGCCTTTGGGAGTATGATGGGCCTCTTGGGGGGCTCTTGGGGAGCCTCTTGGGTGCCTCTTGGGGACCTTTTGGAGCTTTTCGGGGGCCTCTGGGGGCCTCCTGAGAGCTTCTGGGCTGCGGGGGTGAAGGGAGTATGCTGCCTTTGGCCGTCTTTGGGCTCTCTTGGGGGCCTCTTGGGGCCTTCTTGGGGCCGTCCTGGGGCCGTCTTGGGCCGTCTTGGCGCCTCTTGGGCCGTCTTGGCGCCCTCTTGGGCCGCTTTGGGGCCTTCTTGGGGGCCTCTTGGGCCTTCTTGGGGCGCTCTTGGGGGCCTCTTGGACAGTCTTGGACGCCTCTTGGCCCGTCTTGGCGCCCTCTTGGGCTATTTTGGGGGCCGCTTGGGAACATCTCGGGCCGTCTTGGGGCGGTCTTGGGGGCCTCTTGGACCGTCTTCAACGCCATGAAAGGCGAAAAGCCGTATATGCTAAACATGCACGCTTTCCTTAAGAAAATCAATGAGTTTGGCCTCTTGGGGCCCTCTTGGGACGCCTCGTGGGCGCCTCCTGGGGCGTCGTGGAGGCCTCTTGGGACGTCTTGGGGCCGCCTTGGGCGGTCTTGGGCTCTCTTGGAGCGCTCTTGGGCCGTCTTGGGCGCTTGTTGGGGCGTATTGGGCCGTCTTGGGCGCCGTCTTGGCCGCATCTTGGGCTGTCTTAGGCGCCTAAGACGACCCAAGAAGCGCCCAAGAAGCGTTCTCCGATGATGTCTCGAGCGAAACGCTGTTTTTAAGCCCCGAAGGCCGTCCTACTCGATAAAAAACGAGGCGGGAGGGCAATTAGATCCCGGTCTGACGATGCCAACCCCCTCGAACTCCCCCAAGTCCAATTTCTTCCGACTAACGGACCGCACGCTAACGCGCGCTTTCCGTCAACTGCCTCCACGAGGCGAGAGGCCTCCCACGACATCCAAACATGACCCTAACCCACGACCCAGGAATGGTGGCGGGATGGGCCGAAGGCAACTAGATCCGCCGCTCCCTGTCGATTCATCGCAGGGGTGCCTGACGTGCTGGATCGAAGACGCCTACGGCGAATCACCGCTGGCCCCTGCCCTTTTGGAAGCTATCGGACCACGTGTTCCCCGAATCGGTTTGGAAAGCCTTCGGGGAACACGTGGGCATCTTGAAGGTCATCGTGGCCGTGTGGAGGCCATTTTGACCCTTTCGGACCTTCTTGGAGGACGTCTTGGAGGGCTCTTGGGCCGTCTTGGAGGCCATCTTGAGCGTCTTGGAGGCCTCTTGGGCAGTCTTGGGGGCATCTTGGGGCCGTCTTGGGCACTCTTGGGCGATCTTTGGGGGCTCTTGGGCTCTCTCGGGCCGTCGGAAGGCCGAAACGAAGCAAATGTCAACATCCTTCAAAAACCTATGAAACATAAATGTTTTTGGCCTTGTCGGGCCTTCCTGGAGGCCCTCTTGGAGGCCTCTTGGGCCGTCTTGGGCCATCTTCTGCAATTTCGGTGGGCTCCTGGCCCGTCCGACGCCGTCGGAAGCCGTTTGGGGGGCATCCTTGGGCCGACTTGGGGCCCTCGTGGAATGCTCCAGGGCCGTCTTGGATGCCATCTTGGGCGTCTTACAGGCCTCCTGGGCCGTCTTGGGGGCCTCTTGGGGCCGTCTTGGGGTGCCTCTTGGGCCGTCTCGGGGCCATCTTGGAGGCTTCTTGGGGGGCCTCATGGGCGGTCGGTCGGTTTTTTGGGGGCTCTTGGGCCGCCTCGGGCCGTCGGAAGGCCGAAACGAAGCAAATGTCAAAATCCTTAAAAAAACCAATGGAACATCAATGTTTTTGGCCTTGTCGGGCTTTCCTGGAGGCCCTCTTGGAGGCCTCGTGGGCCGTCTTGGGCCATCTTAGGGCCATCTTCGGCCGTCTTGGTGGGCTCTTGTCCCGTCCGACGCCGTCGGAAGCCGTTTGGTTTGGGCCGACTTGGGGTCCTCCTGGGGTGCCCCAGGGCCGTCTTGGCGGGCCACCTTGGGCGTCTTGGAGGCCTCTTGGCCCGTCATGGGGCCCTCTTGGGTGCCTTTTGGGCCGGCCATCATGGGGCCATCTTGGAAGCCTCGTGGGCGATCTTGGGGCGATCGTGGGGGCCTCTTGGGCCGTCTTGAGCCGTCGGAATGCCGAGAAGAATCAAATTTCAAATCCTTCAAACACCTAAGGACAACGAATGACCTCTTGGAGGCCTCTTGGGCCGTCCTGGAGGCCTCTTAGAGCCCTCTTCGACCGTTTTGGGCCGTCTTGAGTGCATCTTCGGCCGTCTTGGAGGCATCTTGGGGCCATCTTGGCCGTTTTGGAAACGCCCATGTGGCCGAACGTTGTGGCAAGAGGCCTGCCAAGCTATCGGACCACGTGTTCCCCGAATCGGTTTGGAAAGCCTTCGGGGAACACGGTGGGCGAGGCTGGGCCGACTTGGGCCTCTTTTGGGGTGTTCCAGGGCCGTCTTGGAGGCCATCTTGAGCGTCTTGGAGGCCTCTTGGGCCGCCTTGGGGGCCTCTTGGGGCCGTCTTGGGGGCCTCTTGGGCCGTTTTGGGGCCATAATGGGGACCTCTTGGGCGATCTGTGGGGGCTCCTGGGCTCTCTCGGGCCGTCAGAAGGCCGAAACGAAGCAAATGTCAACATCCTTCAAAAACCAATGAAACATAAATGTTTTTGGCCTTGTCGGGCTTTCCTGGAGGCCCTCTTGGAGGCCTCGTGGGCCGTCTTGGGCCATCTTAGGGCCATCGTCGGCCGTCTTGGTGGGCTCTTGTCCCGTCCGACGCCGTCGGAAGCCGTTTGGGGGGCCTCCCTGGGCCGACTTGGGGCCCTCTTGGAATGCGCAAGGGCCATCTTGGAGGCCATCTTGGGTGTCTTACAAGCCTCCTGGGCCGTCTTGGGGGCCTCTTGGGGCCGTCTTGGGGGCCTTTTGGGCTGTTCTGGGGCCATCTTGGAAGCCTCTTGGGCGATCTTTGGGGGCTCTTGGGCCGATGTCAGAATCCTTCAAAAACAGATCGAACATCTATGTGTTTAGCCTCTTGGGCCTCTTGGAGGCCTCTTGGGCCGTATTGGGCCAGCTTCGAGCCAACTTCGGCCATCTTGGTGGGCTCCTGGCCCGTCTGACGCCGTCGGAACCTGTCCGACGCCGTCGGAAGCCGTTTGGGGGGCATCCTTGGGCCGACTTGGGGCCCTCTTGGAATGCTCCAGGGCCGTCTTGGAGGCGGTGATTCGCCGTAGGCGTCTTCGATCGGCCGCCCCCTGTGGATTCATCGCAGGGATGCCTGGCGTGCTAAACCCTTTCGGTGTTGGTTTTGGTTCTTTTTCCCAGAAACAAGGACTCCCCCTGGCGCTTCGGCCCGTCCCGCCGGCTGCCTGCCTCGTCGGCTGTTTCGCTGAAGATGGCCCAAGATGGCCTCCAAGATGCCCCAAAGACGGCCAAGATGGCCTCCAAGACGGCTAAGATGGCCTCAAGACGCCTCCAAGACGGCCCAAGATGCACCCAAGACGGCCTAAGATAGCCTCAAGATGGCCCAAGACAGCCTACGAGGCCCCCAGGAGGCCTCCAAGACGGCCCAAGACGGCCCAAGAGGCCTCCAAGAGGTCCCCCAGGAGGGCCCGAAGAGGGCAAAATCATTGATATTCCTTAGATGTTTGAAGGAGTTTGGCATTTGCTTCTTCTCGGCATTCCGACGGCTCAAGAAGCCCCCAAGATCGCCCCAAGATCGCCCACGAGGCGTCCAAGATGGCCCCATGACGGCCCAAAAGGCCCCCAAGACGGCCCCAACAGGACCCAAGAGGCCTCTGAGACGGCCAAGATGGCCTCCAAGACAGCCAAGATGGCCCAGGATGGCCTCCAAGATGGTCCAAGATGGCCTCCGAGTC